GTGGATTCTCTATTTTCTTGCGCAACACCAACTGCTTTCTTCTCCTTCCCATATCTTGTATCCCTTCTCCCATCATTCCCGGGAACTCGTCGAGCTTTCCGATTTGTCCCCAACCCCCCACAGTCCTCTATCTGCAGCGTCGCGTCGCTCGAAGGCGTCTTGAATGTTCTTGTGGTGGTGCTGGACGCTCTTGGCAATGCCCTTCTGTGACAGTTTCTTGCTCAGGTTTTCCTCGTTGCCGCCTCTCCGAGTCGCCTCTGGACTTCCCCATACCCGACAACGTGTGCTGTCGCGGCGCTACTTTACGTGCGAGTATGATGTCGTCCTCTGGCGTGAACCTAGGTCGACGGCCGCCTTTTTGTTGGGAGAGGTATCAAGCGCACAATTGACGTCGCTACGCTCAGGGGTGAGAGTGTTGAAGATGGTGAGGTCGAGAGTAGGGTAGAGAGATGGTGAAGACCGGATAGCGTTCGCCATGATTTGAGTAAAAGTGGTTGTTACAGCTTCACTCTAGAGCTCAGGTCTACAAAACGGTTAATGACGGTACCTGCCGAAGTTTTACCACAGCTAGCACGTGTGCTCGAAACAGTTACAGACACGGTTTCACTAAGTGCTCACATTTCACGTGTTTTTGTCCCATCCGTCTGTGAAATATGACAAACTGTAATGTTTTAGTCATATATTAATCGCATGTTGCAGAAATGTGCTTGCGTAAACCCTCTTTTATTCTCATATGAGGGCCGGCGATATCTTAATATACCTACTACGCCACTTAGTGGATCGGTACTTCGTACAAAACATTTGGGTCTCCAGACTTAGGTGCCAGGAGCCAACTCTAAGCCAAGAGCAATACTTACCGAAAGTAGACGTTACACTGGTTCGATGCATGTACACCGTTTTATGTTTAAATCGTCAATAGGCTTCAAAGAGATCCTCAAACTTTTACCACTCATGATGTTCGTGGAGTTGGCATATTGGCCTATTGATCGATATACCGATCAAGTACGTCCTTGAATATGTGATAGGCCAAAAAGAATCGAAAGAGCGCCTAATTCTACTCGAGAGACGTTGCAAATGATCTGCGGATGGCTCTTTGTTACTTCGACGCCTTTTTCTCAGTCGGACTGCTGGAGGCTCTGGAGTTTCGGGAGAAATTTCTTTGCCTTCGCCGCGTTCCTGTAGCTTTTCTGTATCTGTAGATGCAGGTGATGCACTTGGAGCAGGCTTAGAGCAATCTCTCGGCTTTAAAACCAGCAGGGAGAGCCAGACATTCCAACAAATTTTTGCGGCAACCTGGATAGACTCTCACATACAAATGAACATTACAATGGGAGCAGTGAAAAGTGCTTCTGTTCCCCGCCAACCAACTGAGTTATTTACACATAACTCACAGTATCGCTCGAAGGGGTTCGGACATTGTTCATAACCCTGTACCTCTAACCGTAATCTGTTGCCCTGTTGGAAATTGAAAACCTGGTCTCGCTTCTTTTTCAAGGCAGAAGCCTTAGCACGCAAAACGGCGACTTCTGAAGATGGAACTTCCGTAATTACTAGTACAGACCCGCCTTTTAAACTTCCCTCCTGGAGTGTGTCATACTAAATAAGCATCCCTGTACTTTAATCGTAGATGTAGTTCGCAAGAGATTGTACATTGTTCAGACTGTTCTAAACTCTTGAAGACCTTGAAGGATATCTTTGTCTTCTAAAATATCCTTCTTTTGGTTCATTCTCCACGCAATAAAGGCATTAATAGCAATCGTTTAAACGTTTGGTAGACAATTTTCTGTTCCTACTTTATAATAGTTGTGAATGACCTTAATATCGCACGTTGCCAAGCACTGCTATCTACACCACATTTTGTTTTCGAGTAGAAAGACTGAGAGCCATGCCTCAACAATTTAACAAGCATAAATGCACCCCTTTCAGAGACATAGTTTGAAACAGCTTCCCAGAATGGAATCTTTCCCTGTAAGTTATCTTTCATCTGTATAGAAGCAAAATGTGGAATTAAAACTTCCGCAAAATGCGCCCATGACACACAAGCTTGAGCACCTCCGATTAATGCTTCTGTAAATTCAATGATTTCGTCTCCCGACAAAATGAACCAAAGCAGTGTACAGCACTCCCGTGTCGGAGGCGGAGACATGGATGAGGCAGTTAACGGAGAAAATAAGCATCCGTTGAAAAACCTGGCCAATGTGCTTGTCCGGAACGTACTCGAGAAACGACCTTTCCCCAACCACGCATGGAGCTGTATTTACAGTAGCCAAACGAAGTGCTCGTTCAAGGCTTTCGCGTGAAATGTTCGTCTTGATTTCTACGTATGTCAAAGAAAGATAGACGTGTTTGGTAAAACCCGCTGCTGTAGGGGAGATTATAGCGATGCCGTGGGGAGAGCACGCCAGCCAGCTTGGGTTTTTTGGCAAGCATCCCGCACTCGAAAACGGATTCAGCAAAAGGCCTGTGGATGAGCTTCTGTGGCACTGGAGCTTCTGGTGCTGCTTCTCGCTCCGTATTTGCAGTATACTGTGCAGTACTAAACCAAGAGCTCATACATGACCGCAGAATTTCTGCCGGACTCAAGTCCAGAGATGTAGTATCGGGATCTTTACCTAGCGTGCTACGAATTTTGCTAACCGGCAGCAAGATCTTTTCCAACACGTGTAGCTGTTACTCCAAACTGTCGCTGTATAAACTAGTCGCCACAGCGCTGCACGACTGTTAAACCTTCATAAGTTCCCAATAAACATCTCTCCAAAAAGGTTTTACTACTGCCATTCTTCTGCGGAGGAAAAACTTGTTCAATCATTTGATCTCTTTGTAAAATGACTTCCTTTCAGGCATCCACTTTGAGATACCGCAACCCAAGTCCCCAAACAACTCTAAATTCTACAAGAATCTGATAGTCTTGCTGTTTCGTACTGTGCCATGCTCCTGTACAGCCAAATCAGCGACTGCCGTCTTTTGTGACACGCCATCAGAATTGACCTTAGACGTTTTAGTGGCGTAGTTAGCCGTCGGCTCAGCCTCCGCGCGGTCATCAGCGCGGTCATCTGCAACGAAAGCTCTCCGTCTGTCTGCGGTTGCAGTGGCAATTCTTGAAATAGTCTGTTCTGTAGATGATGCGTCGTCGTCTACATCTTCATCAGTACCACAGCTATCCCCTTCTCCATCGTTTTCTTCATTTCGAGTCACATCAAGAAAGTACCTCCTAACAAATGGGTGGCATTTAACCACGTGATCAGGAATTACCAAGATACAATTAATACCACGACTAAACAGGCTCGTCATTGTAGACAACTTCCCGTATCATCGGTCTGCCGTTACTGTAAAAACACTGAGATGCCGCTCACGACGACCTTCCAGAAGCGCATAAACCATTGGGACAACAGAAGAAGTCTGCGTTTGTTCCCTTCTTCCAAAACGAACAATGTAGGACATTCTGAATAGCGCATCCTACAGTGCATCCGGTGTATGCCCCTCCCAGTCCGCTTTACGAGTGGAGAGTGTCTTCACTTGATTACCAGACGCCCTCGTTCCGTAATGTTCATCATTCAGCCTGGGAAAAGTGTAGAACGGGGACAAAAAACTTTGGCCGATACCTGAAATGCTACCTTCTCGAACTGCGCGAGAAATGCAGTCTTGTCTATCTGGGCGTTCCAGGATGCTGTCCCTAAATCTCCACGACCCGTAGCAGAAAATTCCAGTATGTTAGAACTTATAAAGCGGATAAAAGAGAGCTCGTCGCACTTCAGATAAGAACTAAGTAAGATTTGAACTGTCTTGGACAGACTGAAACCAGTATAATTTGAGAATAGCACAGTGACGTAGAAACGGTACATTTCCCGCATCTTTAAGGGGCCACACTGAGCCTTATGAAAGGTTAAATACTTGTTTAGCCACGCGTTGCATTTGGAAAGATCTTCATGGGCGAAAAGGCGCAACAAAGAGCACCTAATTTCTGACACACCACGAACAAGTCGTTCAATTTCCATTCTACGTACAGCAGCACTACAACAAAGCCTGGAGCTTTCTACAATAATGGCCTCTGTGAAGTCCTTCTCAAGCATAACTTCGATTCAAGTGCTCTTCCTGATTCTCCAATCTTTCGCCGCGTCTTGAACGCCGGGCCTTTAGGTGTCAATGGGCCTGCGATCTCTCCCACACCCTCTAGGTATCCGTTGTCCTCTACCACGTCCTCGAGTGGCTGGGGTCGGGGCGTCGTTACTTGGATCCGCTGTGGGAGTAGACGATACTACGGTCGCCATGGCGTCGTGGGAGGTGGTAGTCTTAGGGGGCAGGGTTGGGGTGTACTTTACAGATTTGAACAGTTGAAAGTTCGAATTAATGGCCAGATGCCTGGGTCTCCTCGAATGTCAGTTTGCCAAGTTGTGCAGTAATGTTGCTATTTATATCACCATTTTAAAAGGGTATATTGATCAGTAGTATAGCGATCAATGGAGGTATGGTACGGTTTGTTGTATGGTAAAGAGGTCAGTGGTCTGTTTATTATTTTCCTCTCCCTCTCTGTCGTAATCTGTCTGTTTGTGGCTGCCTCCCCCGTACTTCCACCTTTTCTCTCCCACTTTTATAGCCGCCGAGCTTCCACTTGGAAGCCCGCGCGGACACATCTAGAAACGCTCCGAAATTATTCTAAAATTTGGTCTAAAATTTGGTGTAAAAATTCAATGCATCATTTAGGGTTCACACGATCCTCCTTCCAGCGCAGCGCCCTGCGGTGCAGTACATAGTCTGTTACTGGGCCTCAGTTCTTCAAGTTGTTCCCCCTCCTGCATCTACATCGCCGGCTTTCGTCCTTTGTCCACCATGTCTTCTACCGCACTGCCCCTTCTCACCGATACGCCTCATTCATAACGCGCGTCCGCTTCTGTCGCCTGCACACTGCGACGCGCATCTGCCCCGGCCAGGTGAGTCGTGCGTACGTGAGGTTTTAGCCCTCACGCGCGCTCGTTGGCCCTTCCTTCCCTCTTTGTTCCACCATGGCTAGGACCAAGCAGACGGCGAGAAGGAGTGCGGACGGGAAGGCCCCGCGCAAGCACGTAGCTCTAAAGGCCGCTCGTGTTACGAAACAAGATCAAGACCTTCGGAACAATGTCATGTTCCAGTTGTCTTCCCGTACGGACATCGTAAAAGTTTCTAAGTCAAGTTCCGCCGTCGTCCTTCCTCATGACTACCATATATGGGTTAAAAGCGGACATCGGCGGTACGACGTAACACGAGCTGAGTTCGAGGCCCTTTTGGGGCATCATATCCCCGAGTTGCTCATTCGAAAAGAAGCCTGTGAGTTCACTGTCGACGACCTGGCACGCTTCCGGGTGACCAATTCGGTCAACGACACAAGCCGTCCCAACACCATTACAGAAAACGAGTAGGACATCTCCCAAATCTACCTCTGGAAAACCGGTGTGTACTATGGGGTGGATGCATCCACTGAGAACTCCTACCCCATAGATCTTTACACACTCAAGATCATGGGTACCGGGGACAGTACTACCCATACGGTGGTTAAGGGAGTCTTCCGTTTCGGGGGAAAGACCGGCACTATGCATACACGGAAATCGACGCCTTCTGATCGCAGGACTTCTGCGATCAAAATGCAAAATGGCATTCGGTCGCAGAAGGGGGCAGAACCCTGGTGGGGCAAAATTCTTCTAGCCCCATCTCGAAAAGGTTCTCTTCCAAGACCGGAGCGACATGTGCATCCCAGTCGCAGTCTGCAACGCAGTCAAACTTCTTGGCGATACTTCTTTGGCCAAGGAGTATTGGAACGATTTCATTAAGACGAGCCTGTTGTACGAAGTAAGTGGCGCCTTGCCGCGCTGCATCCGAGATTTTCAAGATGCCAGGAAGCGCCAAGACGAGAAGAGAGTTAGACTCACTCGCGAAGAAGGTACTAGCCACACGCTTTCCGCGGCGTTGGCGTTTAAAAGTGGCGTAGTTGTTGCCACACTTGAAAGAACTCCCCATGTCATGCATAGTCTCTGCTTTGCCGCCTCTGACAAGATTATTGTAGACTGCATGGAAGAGAGCCCCCTACGCCTCTGCGCCAGCTCTCTGAAGAGCTGCGTTGGGCCGGCTCGGCCTTTCTGACGGTATCCGAACTGTACCGCGTTGAAGTGTTTCCACCTCCGGAGAAAAAAAGAGGTCCCGCCCAGGTTACAGCGTGCAACGCAGGGCACGCGAGAAGGCGTCATCCCTCGACCATAGCCGCGGTCAAGCCTCTGGTAGTCACCGTAATTGAACCTCCCTTGATTATTACGCATACAAAGGTAGGAATGAGTAAATGCATACTACGGGGCAATTCAATACGAAGAAGGACACGTCCGGTTTCTAGAGCAAGTGCTCCGGTTTTGTATTATAGCGACTGAGTCTCCTCGCATGTACGTCCTTGCGAGTGTACCGAATGTCCTGTGAAACGAGCGTGTATCTAGGGTGGAGAGTTAGCACAACTGTGCATGGTCCGTAGAAGCGCGATTTGAAGGGGGGCCATTTCTCCACGGATCCCAGGGATGCTCCTTTGCCACCAGTATCTCCTTACCAACCCGAAACGTTACGTCCCAGCGCTTCCGTGGTGGGCTGATTTACATCGAGCATGACTTCTTTCTGCTCTTACGGCCGCAACATGTATCAATTCCATGTTTCGATAGCTTAAGTTCGCCGTCGGGAATAAACGGAGCTGGTCGAGTAGTGTCATTCTAGGGGGAACACCGTACAGTAACTAAAAGGGCGAAGAACCGCCGGCCGATGCTCTGCGGCGGTACCCATATTCCGCAGTCTGTATAGCGGCCTCCCATGTTGAGCTGCTCGACCCAAGACCGATAATGATCTTGCGTGCCGCTCGTTTAAGGGTTCCAATCATGCGCTCTGCGCGTCCATTCGGCATGGGTGCATAAGCAAGCACAATCTTCCACTCAATGCCATGCTTTTTCATGAGGTTCTCGAGTGTTGGTGTTGTGAAGCAAGTCGCATTATCTGAGACAATCCTACAGAGTGAACCGAAATTATAGATGATCTCTTCCTCAATGAGCTTCACGACCTCTTCCGCGGTTGAAGTTTCAGTTGGCTTCGCAATTAGCCAGCCCGTGAGATGCTCGACGGCCACCAGCATGTATCTCTTGCCGGAACCCGACTTTGATAGCGGCCCTGCAAAGTCCACAGGGAACGTGCTAAAAAGGGAAGTTATTGGGAAGTGTGACGTCGTCTTGTACTTGGAGAGAGTGGTCGCCTTTTGGCATCCCTCACACCTGCGGACATAACCAGACAGGTCTTTGTGGACCCCGGCCACCGATAGCGATCCAGCACAAACTTCCTTGTTTTCTGCAGGTCCCAATGGCCCAACTCGTCGTGGACGGCACGGACTATTTTTTACGAGCGTTTTGCGAAGGAATAGCGCGCAAGTCGTTCGGCGGAAGATGTTTCCATCGTGCGTCAGGAACCGCTTGGCATTACGACGGTTCATTCGACGCTGTAGAGAGTCCAACTCTATCATGTCAACACCGCGTAGGTATTTGGCGATGTCTTTCAAATGTGGCTCTAGGTCTAGAACGTCGACAGCCTGAATCTAAGAATTGCAGACAAGGTCACCCTCGTCTTCCGGGTCTCCTCGCAGATTTCCTCCAACGCAAAGACGAGAAAGTGCGTCGGCGGCCTTGTTCTTGCTGCCCGGGCGATACTGCAGTTTGAACTCGTACTCGGCGAGAAAGTCCATCCATCTAGCGAGGCGGCCATGAATATCCTTCTGCAAAGCGTACTGAAGGGCTTGGTGGTCAGTCACCAACATAAACTTCTGCGTAGATAACAAGTACACCCGAAACTTCTTCAGCGCAAGTATAACAGCTAGAGCTTCACGCTCACATGCCGAGTAATTCTTTTCGGGATCGTTCATCGTACGACTCCCGTACTGAATAGAATGATTTTCCATCATCCTTGCGCTGTGATAGCACAGCGCCAAAAGCAACCGACGAGGCATCAGTTTCGACCACAAACGACCTCTCGAAGTCCGGAAACGCTAGACCCGGCGGAGAAGTCAGCATTAATTCCAGCTCCTCAAAAAGCCTTCTGCATTCCTGGAGTCCGTCAAAGGTCCTCTTCACGGAAGTCGCTGCATGTAGCGTTGCTGATATCTCCTCGAATCCGGGTATAAAGCGGCGGTAGTAGCCGGAAAGACAAAAAAAGCTGCGCAGCTCCGTGGTCTTGGTTGGCACCAGCTGCGGTTGGATAGCCCTGACCTTCTCCGGGCCCACCTTGATCCCTTGGGCACTCACAATTTGACCCAAAAAACGGGTCTGCGATTGTGCGAAACTACATTTTGAAATCTTGAGCTTCAGCCCGTTCCCACTGGCAATTCAGAATAATTCGGTTAGATGAGCGACGTGCTCGTCTATAGACTTCGAGAACACTACCACATCATCGAGACAAACAAGCACAAGACGAAGCTCACGAAATAGTTGATCCATCATCCTTTGAAACGTAGACGGTGCGGTGCGTTCATCAAACCAAAAGGCATCACTTCAAACTGGAAGGTTCCATAACGACAGACGAAAGTTGTTTTCTCCTTACAGCTTTCTGCCATCCGGACTTTCCAGTAGCCAGAGAACAAATCGAGAGTACACCCTAGTAATGTATTTAGTGTAACCCATACTATTTCTCAGGCCCTGATTTGGGGACGGTCTGCACAAATTAGTGCCACACACATTATTTGTGGGCATACACTATTATAGGGGCCGGGGTATTTACTGTGTGTGACACTATATGAAAACTACCTATTTAGTGTATGTCGGTGCAAAAAGGCTAGGAGCCTCTTGGAGCTCAGATGCAATCGCATTCAACTGTCTAAATCCTCCGTTGACCTTAGGGGTTCATCGGCTGACTCCCCGTTGTCTTCAACTTCATCTCCATTCACCGGCGCTCCGTCAAAATTGTCCCGATACTTGTTGATTATTTCCTGCAAGCGTGGAAAAAGCTGCCTCTCCTCCCATTTTCCATTCAGATTAGTGCCGAGCCCACAACTAACCATATCCTTTCGAGCAAAGCTAATACCGTCTTTATCTCTCTGGACGTTCACATCACGGACTGAGTCTGCGGCAAGCTTCATAAAAAATTTCTTTCCAGGGTTAGCAAGCTTCCCAGAAGCGTTATCTCCTACACTGCATAGTCCCTCGTCAATCATGGTCAGCTTGTGATCGTCCCAACGACGACGCCAAGCCGTCTTAAATTTTTTGAATTACAAAAGAGTCCGCGGGCTGGACTAAATCAGTTGCATTCTTTGGGACGAACCGTACTTCTGTGTTAATAGATCCCAAGGCTGACTTGATTTCGTCTGTGATAGCATGACCACTGCAGTTGTCCATGTACAAAACGCGTCGTCGTCCACCGGGAAGCGGCGATATGGCCCTCGGTTCCTTGAGCCACTGTGCCATCACAATTCGGTCTATCCAGCATTTTGGTCCCGACCTGTAGGACACCCCAGGTACATTGTCAGGGAGACCACGGATTGGGTAATTGCGTAGGGCGTTCTGAAATATTAGGAACGGCGGACAGATTTCCGCTCGTGACCCTCCAGAGATCAACACCATCATAGTCATACCAACGTCACTCGAGACCACATCAGCATATTTGACATCTTGATCACCACGTAACGAAAGCGTTTTATGATCGTCCATGTTAATGACAAAATGTGTTTCGTCTGCATTAAACACATCCTCATCATACAATGAGCCAGTATTAAATTCACGGCAGAGTGATCCGAGGTGATATGCTACTTCACGTTTGATAAACTCTTGCTTCTGTAGAGACACGAGGAGTTTGCCAGTCTGTGCCCGGGATACAATTCCGTGGGACTGCATGAAGCCCTGCACCCTTCGGGGTGTGACGTGACTGCGTATGAAGTTTCCAGAACGAGGCTCCACCATTCCGGAGTGGTACTGCTCAGATGTCGAGTTATCTACTAGTCGGAGGGCAAGACGATGAAGCAGATGTTTGTTGAATTTTACCCCGACCTTGCGAAGACGTCCGAATTCCGAAAGTAGGTCTGCATAGAGATGAACAACCCATGCACTCCTCTTGCGACCACGTCCAGACCTAGCCTTAATGTTGTGCCTTCGGATACTCTGAGCAGTCGGTCGAACAAAGGCGTTGCCATTCCTTCTGGTATTGGCCCCTTGTTCCGCGAGAATATTGTTGCGTGCTGCCCAGTATCTGCTGGCACGAGTGAGGTTTGCGTTGGGCGTACCGCGAAAATATTGGGGAAATTGACGCACAGACTTGGATGCTATTCGGCTTTCTCCATTGGCAGAGGCGTCATTTTGCATCCATCTCACAATCTTGGCGCACTGGGTTTTGGTCAAGACATTCTGGATTGCACGACGAGGGT